CCCCAAAACCCCAAAACCCCAAAACCCCAAAACCCCTAGGAACCAAAAAATAATTGAATTTAGGGGTGCATTTTAGTATATTTTTGAAAATATTTCAGCACTCATTTTAGCACCTTCTCAGGAGGAGTTGACTGTGGTAAGTTAATTTCATTGCAAATTTGTGAAAAGAGCGGAGTCAACTGGGCATCTCGTTGTGCTGCTCGAGAATTTTGATGATTAGGAGAAGAGATATAATACTTTTGAGGATCCTTTTCTTTCTTCTGAACACTAGATTTAAATTTAGGTGTCTTCATTGAACTCTTATTCTTCCTACTATTTTCATGTCTAAACATGTTTTCCTCATTTTCGTTCTCACTTCTCGAATTCAAAGTGGAAAATGATGCCTTTAAATTTTTTATCTCATTTTCTTTCTCAGCAAGCTTCATCTCTAACTCAGTACATCTCTGGAACAACTGACCAATCTGCCTATTAACAGACTTCCTTTTGGCTTCTTTAATTTCTACACTTAGTATAAAAATCCTACTTTGCTTTTCTTTCGACTTACATTTTGATGTTTTCTCTAAGACAATTTTCTCTAAATTATTAATTTTAGCCAAAAACCACTTAAAATTTCGAAAAATCCAAATCCAAAATTCCCTCTGTTTCCTCTTGGAACCCCTTATCAGCACAGAAGCAGTGGGGACTGGAAGTGGTTTCTTACGTTGAACTGTCGATTCTCTTTGTCGCTCAAGTTGATATCTCTCAGTGGCATTCTCTGGAACTCGGCTTTATTTTTGGTGAAATACTCCCCCATCGAGATATTTTGGTACTGCAGATCTCGAGAATCACCAACATTCTCATGCTTGTTTTGATTAAACATAGACATGTTAGACTCAGTGAATGGAGATATGACTGACGATTCAAGACAATTAGAAGCTCTACGTTGTATAGCTGCGGAGTTCTGAACTTCGCAGCTCATCTTCTCACCCTCAATGTGTCTTTTATAAGAGAGTAGCTGTCTTATATCAGGATCTCCTATAGTAAACTCCCTCTCCTGATTTGATCCCTGCATGTTAGCTTTTGTGTAGGAATAGTCGTTAAATTTATCCCCGAACCTAGCTCAGGGGTTCTGATTACCTATTTGCACTGAGATTTTAAACTCCAAGCTCTTAAATCCAGAAATTTTGTTATGAAATTTATGTGGAAAATACTTCGGAATTTGGGGGAGAAAGCAAAGTTTAATAAAAAGGCTATAAGAGCTAGTCATCCTGGTATCTAATCTTTTGAATTTTAACTAATTTTGTTTTAAAATTTTATATGTTTAGAAGTACCTAAAGCTTTCATAGACTGAAAATCTTGCTCATGATCAGGTGCACATGGAAATTTGAAGTACTTCCTAGATTTATAACTCTTTGATCTGGAATTTATTGAGGCAGTAGTTTTATACGTATTTCTACCCTCAGATTGAGACCTACAAGAGCTATTACTCCATAGACGATGGAGACTGCTCCGGTCTGGATTAACGCCTCTAGAACTCTTCTGATTAGCTGTATTATAATACTGCGTCCTTTCATCTTCAACAGGGTTATACTGGTGACCACCATTCTCAAATCCCTTCTGAAACTCCTGTGGGATACTACTTCTCTGTGAAGGGTTAGAAGACCTGTTGCCCTGATGAGTTGGGCTCATAAACCGGTTCTTGCTCCGCATACGATACTCTCGTTTCTTATGTTTCTTATAAGTCCCAGTAGTCTGGTAAGAGTCTTGGCCTTTGCACATATCATTTCTGCCTCGCTTGCTTCTCAAACAATTGAAATCACGTTGCTTAGGGACTTTATACTCCATTTCAAATTTAAATTTTCAAATTTGAGAAGACCAAACGGGGTTTTGGGGTTTTGGGGTTTTGGGGTTTTGGGGTTTTGGGGTTTTGGGG